CGCACGTCGCACGGGCCAATGGGGAGGACGTAATTCGGATGCATGACGCGTGTGCCCTCCACAAGGCCTCCGAACAGGGCGGGTCCAGCCCTGAGCACCACCCCCATCGGGCAGGTGTAGCTGGCTCCGCAACTGCGGCCAAATGCTTGGAGCTGCTCAGGCGGGATGTCAAACAGGCCGCACAAGAACCGCACATCATTTTTATGGATGGAAGCAACCGCGTCCTTGAAGAAACTTGGATGCCACGCTGTTTGTTCTGATTGCGTGATCTTCTGTTGGAGACGTTCGGTGACTGCGTGTCTGGACACGACGGCAAAACGGATCACCGCGGCAGGATTCATGTCGGAGCCCTTCAGGCGAAAGCGCAGGATCGTGACGGCGTGGGTGGCCCCAACAACATGACCCGCAACTGCGGTCTCTGCGATGATGTGCGGGCGCACGAGCACCACGCCCGTGTCTCTGAACAGGCCAACCGTCGTCCAGTAAGGCTCCGCGGTGTTGTTTTTCAAAGTGACAGCGTCTTCGACGGCAGTCCTGAGTCCAACGGGAACGTCGTAGCTGCAAGCGCCTTCGACGTTCCCCGTGCGGAACAGCTCGGGGTCCCATACGACGAAGACGACCGCCGCAGTTTGGTGCAAGATGCACCTGAAGACATCTTCCTTTGTTGCCACCTTCGTGATGACCACCACGTTGAACACCAAAGCGATGGTGGACGGAACCCGATTGCCGTCTGCTGTACGAAGGAATCCTTCGTTCCACTTGGGGCGTTCCCCAACGTAGTTTATCCCTGGAGGGGACCTGGTCCGCTGCTTCTTCCGCGGTGCTCCCGCATCTTCCCGCAACTGCGGTTCCGACGGAGGCCCCGCGCGACCCCGCGACTGCGGTTCTGACAGCGGCGAGCCTTCCGTGGGAGGCGGCCTTTTCCTCGGCCGCGAATCGGCCGAGGCGATTGTCTCGGCGGCTTTCTCCTGGGAGGCGGCCTCGTCTTCGGGTTGGGCGCCTCGTTTGGACTCGGCTGCGAGCAGCACGGCCGAGGGCGCGCTGCTCCCAGATGAGCCGCGCGCGGCACCTGGCTCGCCGGCCACCCCCGCAACTGCGGTCTCGGTGGCGGCTCCCGTCACTGCTGGTTGGTCCTGCTGCTTCGTCGGCGTCTGCGCCCGAGGCCCCCATTTTGCCTTGGGGGTCAAGTGCGCCCTGCGCAACTGCGCCTCTTCGCGCCTCCCACCAGCAGAGCTCCCACTCGCAGCGCTTATCGGCGGCGGCGGCCGATATTCCCGCGAGGAGCTAGACGACTGCGGGGAGGCCTCGCGCGGCGGTCGCTCGGGGCTTCCGCAACTGCGGTCCTCCGTCGGCTCCGCGACTGCGGCATCCGCGGCAGCCCCTTGCAGGCCGAACCTTTCCCGCAGTTGCTGCTTCAGCTCGGCGAACCGCTTGTCGACCTCGGCTTTGCGACCTGGGTCCATGGCGTGGCCGCGCGCGGCCCCCGTCCGACGGGGGAACTGCGGCCGGCTTGGGAGAGGAAGGACAACGAGGGAGACGGCGGGGATGAGGACGAGGAAGGCGAAGAGGAGGATGGAGAGGACGCGACGGAAGAGGATGGCGCGAAGAGCTCAGACGAGGGTGAAAGGAGCAAGGGGACTGCGACGAGGATGACGGGGCAGAAACGGAGGAGGAGGAATCAACAAAGTCCGCAACTGCGGCCCTCGGGGGGGACTGCGACGAGGACGACGGGAAATGACTCGGCCAACGGAGGCGGGCTACGGCCAACGGAAGGAACTGCGACGAGGAGGAAAGGCGGAGGGAGGAGACTGCGACGAGGACGACGGGGAAGGGGCGACGAGGACGACGAACAACTGCGGATCCATCTGTTTAAGTACCTGTCTCCGCAACTGCGGCCGCGCTAATTAACGTCACGAGTGCTTCAACGGAGGTGATGCGCGCCCGAAGCACCTAATTACAGCGGTCAGTCGTGGGAGCGCCGCAACTGCGGCCAAGCTGTATGAAGTCGCTAGAAGGCAGCGCCGCAACTGCGGCCGAAAGCGCGCATAGTGAGTCAAACGAGCGCGGCGTCACGCGATCGGTCCCCGCAACTGCGGTTCCATGGCTGCGCAATCCCGCAACTGCGGTGTCAAGGCTGCGCGGACCACCGCGGTTGCAGCTGCGCCCCCTTGCTCGCGTCGAACCGCCCAGGATTCGGATGGGCGTGCAGCATCTTCCAGAACGTGAACGTTCCGTGGCCATCGCTCTTGCCGAGACCTGCCCTCGGGCCCCGCACGGGATGCGAGTGCGGCTCCACCTCATACGTGTTGAACTTCGGGCTAGACCAGGATGGGTGGACGCGAATGCCCGAGCCGTCGTCGCGGATGAGGACGAAATCCCACTGGGGCAGAGGGATTCTTTGCGCCTGTCCTCTGTCCACCCCTTTCGTGTGCCTCATGTTGTCGAGACTGCTAGGGCACGGGCGGCACTCGCAGCGGACCAACCCGCGACTGCGGTCATTGTCAGGGCCGCACACGACGCGCAGCATTGTAGGTCCATCCATCTGCGCGACCATCTCCAGCCAAGACCACGGCACTTTGACAGTGTGGTCCCAGTCCCAATCCCTGTTGTCCTGCGCCTTCCCCTTTGCGCGGTACTTAAGGATCTTCGAAATTTCCTCCGCAACTGCGGTACCTCCGAAGACGGGCGTGCGGCTGCCGAAAGGGTTTTCTCGGTCTTCGTACTCGTCTCGGAACCACTTCAAGGCCGCGTTGTGCTGCTTATAATTGCCGTTCCAGTTCGCCCTGAAGTTCTCGAAGAATTCCAACTTGAAAATTGGCAGCGGCTCATTGCGCACAATTTGAAACAGCGCAACTGCGCCTTGTTCTTCGCGCCCTGGGGGAAGCAGGGGACCGCCTCCTTTGCCCGCCGCTGTTGCGGCCGCGGGCTCCGCGGCAGGAGAACCTGCCGAGGCACTCGAGCGGCCACCTTCCCATGCATTCCACCAGCCACCCTCGTCGTCCCACCAGCGGGCGCCCTCCATTCCCCAACCCTCGCATCCGTTGCCGCCCCATCCGCCGCCCTCCCATCCGCGACTGCGGTCACTTCCGTCGCCGCCATCCTGCGCTTTTCCTCTCCATCCGCCAAGAGAATCTCCGCCGCCCCAGCCGCCACTGCGGTCACCTCCGCCGCCGTATCCGCCACTGCGGCCGCCCCAACCCCCACTTGTTCCCCAACCGCCGCCGCTGCTCTTTGAAGAATCCGCAACTGCGGCCCGTGTTTCCTCTTCCGCTTTGTCATCCCACCCTGCACGCATCTCTGCCCCGACTGCAGGCCGCGGAGGCGGGCGCGAGCCCGCCCAACCGCCGTGAAACCTACCGTCGGCGCGGGCTTGAGCCGAACGTGCATGGAGGAGGAGGATGAGGAGGAGGAGGGTGAATGTGAGGAGGATGATGCGTTCCTGGGAGGTGTGCCTTCGCGTGCAACACAAGAGCCCTGAGAATTCCTGAGGCCCCTCCAACAGCCAAGGACGCGGATGACAAGAAAGTCGAGAAGATTGGGAACCGATTGAGGATTAAGAGGCGTGCGACGAAAGGGATGATGATGACGAAGAGGAAGATCAGTGAAGGGGAGGAGCGGACAGGAATTATGGAGGAGTGATAGCAGAGGAGGAAGAGGGGGAAGGGGGAGGAGGAGGAGGAGGAGGAGGAGGGAGAGGAAAAGGGGGAGGAGGAGGAGGAGGAAGAAGGTGAGGAGGAGGAGGAGGAGGAGGAGGAAGAGGAGGAGGAGGAGGAGGAGGAGGAAGAGGAGGAGGACGACGACGACGAGGAGGAGGAGGAGGAGGAGAGGGAGAAGGAGAACGGGGACAGGAGGACAAGGACGGAGAAATATAACAAATGAGGGGGAGGAGGCGGAGGAGGAGGAGGACGAGGAGGAGAAGCAGGAAGAGGAGGAGGAGAGGGGGGAGGAAGAGTGCGCGTGAGACTGGGAGAACGAGGTAATTAATTAGAGAGGGAACGGGGGAGGAGGGAGGACAAGGAAGAGCATACAGCGACGAGAAGAGGAGAAGGAACAGACGAAGGCTCCTGCTGATCGCATTTCCGCATCGTTCAAAGCAGTGCCGGGGCACTGCTTTGAACGACTGGTGATGTTCAAAGCAGTTCCCCGGCACTGTGTTCCATCGTCGCCGTTATAAGGGCTATCGGATTAAGGCGTGCGAGGTGGTGCTCCACCGTTCGCACACAGCAATCTGGGGAGGGGGCCTACGCTATCTAACTCCCCCACCTACTGGCCTTAAGGCTACGTAGGCCGTCCGTGTTTAACTCCCAACCCCCCCTGAAAATGGCATATTTATGTCGGTCCTTAACTCGGGGGTGCGCAGGGGGGGGCAAACCACAGGATTGCCAGGGAGGTCTGGACACGCCACCCGCGCCAGGCAACAGGCCTGACGCGGGGCAGGCACCGCACAGGGCGGCCCTAGTCGTGCCAGACATCCCCCAGCAGCCCCTTGGTTTGGCCCCCCAGCACATCCCCCCACTCCACGCCCTTCTCCAGCCCTTGCCCTCCACACGGCACGGCAGCCTTTTCTGGGGTCCAAGGACCGTGAGGACGGTACCCAGGAGGGGGGCAACACTCTGCAGCCGCCGGAGCGGCGCGGCAACGCCCAAAGGGCAGGCCGCGCAGAGTGTTACCCCCCCCCTTTGGGTCCCGTTCTCACGGCCGTTGGGCCCCGAAAGGGTTGGCACGTTCGAGGAGGAGGCGACGGGGGGAGGCGACGGGAGGAGGCGACACGAAGCGCGAAGGAGGCGAGACGGGCGTGGACCCCAAACAGAGAGAGCCCCACACAACGGGCGGGCCCAGGGGCCCCAGGAAACCAGGACCAGCGAGAGAGAGAGAGAGAGAGAGAGAGAGAGAGAGAGAGAGAGCCACGCGGCCCCACGGCGGGAGGGCGGTTGCCTTCGCCGCAGCGAAGACAAACGCCCGATTTTCGGCAAGCACTGTTGGGCGCAAGCAGTGGCCTTTTACAATGGCCAGCTGCAGGAGCCGCAGTCCTCGCGCAACGGCGCGGGCTGCCTCGCTCCGGGCTGGGCGTGCACTGAGCCGGCCACCGCGCCCTCGATGCACAGGCGTGCGGTGGAGAGCCGCGCACCTGCACCAAGGTTGCGGACCGCAATCTGCAGGAGCGCCACGGCCATCCTGCTGCGGACGACGACTGCCTCTGCGCAGTCCTTGCCAGCCGTGGTCTTGGACGAGCTGATCCGGACCACGAACAGCTCGCCGCGGTCGACGATGTCGCCCACCGTCAGGGCAAACACCTCCGCGCCTTGGAGCATGCCCTCAAGGTTGACGAGAAGGAGGGCGGCCACGTCGAAAGCGCCTGCCGCGCAAGCGAACCCCGCCATGGCCGCGACGGCCTGGGTCGTGAGCGGCAGCACCCTGGACGCCGGCTCATGCTGCCTCCATGTATTGAGGAGAGCCCAGCTCAGGTCGAGGTGTCGCCTCAGGCGAGGCGCCGCGAAGCACACCTCTGCCAGAGTGTTGCTGGCGGCCGCGACGCCCGCACCAGAGGCCCACAGGCCCTCGAGGTACTCCGCGACGAGGGCGTCGGCGCACTCGGGGTCGCCGCGCAAGGCGTCCGCCCCCGCCTGCTCGGCTCCGAAGTGGGCCAGCAGGGCCCGCAGAGCCCGCCCGTAGCGCCGCCGCGTCTCCGCCGACACCCTCAGGGAAGAGAGAGTCTGGCAGCGCGTCCCGCGGCGCCTCACGGGCACGGGCCTGCGGTGAGCGGCCGCGCGCGCGGCACGGGTCGCCCTCGCCTCCTGGGCTTCGAGCCACGCAGGGTTGTCCTCCGAGACCACGTAGCCGATCAGTGGGTACATGTCGGCCGCCACGACGACGGCCATCCAGCGCATCAGGATGGGCTGGAGCTTCCTGCTGCTGCTGCGGCCCCTTGTCACGATGGCCGCGACCACCTGGCTGTCGACGAGGTGCAAGAACCTGCCCCCGTGCTTCGCGACCTTGCGGGCGCGCCACCTGATCGCCGACGTGGCCGCCTGCAGCTCTCTCACGTTTATGTGGGTGGAGCTCCGGCCGGGCCACGCCATGCTGACCACCACGCGCCACTTCCACACGAACGGGTCCAGGCTCGTCCTCGGCCAACCTCGCGGGCGGTAGGGGACGCCGTAGTCCAGCCTGACGTCCGACCCGCCCTTCTCCGCGCGGCTGAGGTAGTGCAGGACCGGCTGCCTCGCCTCCGCGGTGTCCGGCTCCCCTGGCTCCGTGACGAAGGCCCCCGCCTGGCCCCATGTCGCCCGGCACTCGCGGACGGGGGACACCTCTTCTAACGACAGCTCCCTGTTCAGCGCGCCGCGGCGGTGCTGGAGTTGCTGGCACAACCATGCCACGACGTGAATACTGAAGCTGGTGCCGAGGAGGAAGGCCCTGGCGTCGGAGGCGTCCTGAGGGTTCGAGCCCTTGGTGGCTAGGGAGGTGCACCTCGGTCTCCCTGGCCCAGAGCAGCCCTCGCCCTCCCACGCGAGGTCCATGAGCGGGACGCCAGGGCCCACCAGCTCGTTGTAGACCCCGCGGTCGGTCAGCCGAAGAGGCGCCGATGCGGTGGCGCCCCAGCTCGTCCAGAACAGGCGCGGCCTGCAGCACGGCACGAACACCGACGAGCACACCAGCGTCGGCCTCACCTGCAGCGCCTCCGAGATCAGCTCCACGTTGACGTCGGACATGCTGGCCACGTTCTCCACGAACCAAACGAGCCTGTCCCTGAAGACGGCGGCGAGGAGAGCCAGGATACGCGGCACCTCGTAGAACAGCGAGGACTTCCTGCCGCTGAGGCCGCGCCCGCCGACGTTAAAGGCGTGACAGGTCCTGGCAGGGGCTGCCCGCAGCGACCGCCACGAGGTCGACGAGGCCGCCGAACGCCTCGAACAGGTCCCGCACCGTCTCGCTGCCAACGCGGGTGACGTCGCCCCAGTCGATGACACCTAGCCAGCGGAGCCTGACAACGCGCCTCGCCTCGGCGTCCGTCTCGGCCGCGACGTAGGCCGCGATGCGGAAGGGCAGCCTCGAGAAGGCGACGGCGAGGCCTCCGATGCCGTCGAACAGGCCGATGACCAGCACCGACAACACCCTGCGGACTGCCCTGGCGGGGACGCGTGGGTTGGCTGCCGCCCACGGTCGGGCGGGGTCCTCGGGCATGTTGAGGAGCCTGGCCCCTATCCCCAGCTGGTCGGGGACCGTCCTCGGCACCTGCAAGGCGGCGGCGACATCCTCGCGCAGGCCGGCTGACGTGCACACGCCGCCGCCCATCTCCGACGCGTCCGAGGACGTGACCATGCCGTCGACGCGCGCCCGCAGCGAGGAGGCGGCCAGCGGCAGGACCATCACGCCCATGAGGAGCTCCTCCACCATCTCCGCGTCCAGGTAAGCCTCCTGCGCTGAGGACGCAGCCAGCGTCCAGACGGAGTTCAGGACCCCGAAGAGCGGCCGCCTGAACTCGAAGGCCCTCGCGAGCTCGCCGAGGGCCGCCATGGCAACGCGCCACGGGACCAGGCGCCGCTGCACCGCGGCCAAGCAGAGGCCCGCAGTGGTCAGCGCCTTGGAGGCGGGGACAGCGAGGCGCCCGCTGACGCCGTCGACGTCCGCGCCCATGCGCTCGACCCTCAGCTGCCTGCAGTGCGCCTTCTCGGCCGAGAAGGAGGCGCTCGCCCTCTCGTAGCTGGCGCGGACCTGCATCTGGAGGTCGCTCGGGGCCCCCACGAGCTTGCGGGCCAAAACCTCCTCGACGATCTCCGGCGCATCGAAGTCGTCGATGTAGACCTGCCACCAGCCAGCGTCCTGGCCGCTGCCTGCCTCGACCAGGGGCCGCGCGCAATCCTTGCGCCTCTCCCCGTCTGGGGGAAGCCCCGCCCCGAGGGGCGGCGCCAGGCGGCACAGCCGTCGGTGAATGTGCTGGAAAACGGGCACCGCGAGCGACCAGCCCATGGCGATGACAGCCGAGGTCACGTAGACGACGGGCTCCGAGCGGCCAAACAGCTTGCCCGCGAGCGGCCGCCCCACGGCCATGTAGGGGTGCCACGCGGGCGGGGCCCGCCACACGAAGAAGGCCCCCTTCTGGTCGTCGCCCGACCACAGCAGCAGCTTCCCTTCGGGGATCACGACCGACGTCCAGGACGTCGAGGCCGCGAGCAGCGCCGCCTCGCCCACGTGGGCCTTCAGGAGCGAGTTGCCTGGCACCATGTTGGGGATGAGCCTGGTGACCCGCGTGGCGCCAAGCGCTGGGGTGCCCTTCTTCTCCACCACGAACAGGCCGTTCAGCACGGGCTCGCCCCTCACGCGGACCAGCTCGCTCTCCGCGAGCGTGGTGAAGATGCTGAGCGACACGAGGTGCAGCGCCAGCTCCTCCCAGTCCGCCTCCGTCTCCACGTTCACGCGGGCCCGCGGCAGCGGGTCGGGCCAGTCGGACTGGTCGAGGAGCGCCAGCTCGGGGCGGCGCAGCCAAGCGCCGACCTCGTCGTCAACGAAGTCGATCGCGTCGAGCGTGGCAGCGCACTCCCGCGCGGGCAGGCCAGGGGCCAGCTCGCAGAGCCGGCAGGGGAGGGCCTTCACGCCCGTCTCGCCCTCGTACGCTGACCCGCAGCCGCCCGCCAGCTCGTCGATCGCAGGGACCACGACCATGGCGAGCGGGTCCTCCGCCAGGGCCGCCGCTCGGCACTTCAAGTGCACGTAGACCTGCGTCTGCGCCTTCGACAGGGTCGGCCTGTGGCGCCAGCCTTCCTGCGCGCGGCCGCAGAACGCACAGTTGAGCGCCACCACGCTGAGGTGCAGCCACGCCTGCTCGCTGACCTCCCGCGCCACGGCGCGGCGGCGGCACCTGCGTGCCTTGGGCAAGGCACTGTGGGCCAGCCAGCGGTCCACCTCCTCGGTCGACGGAAGGGGAAGCGGCAGGGCGTCCCGAACCCTCCTGTTCGACGACCCCCCGCTCCCACAAAATGTGTCCGCACGCATGCTGAACGACCGAGCGAGGTGGCCAAGGCTGCCTGGGTGGCGTCGCACCGCTGCCGCCAGCTGCGCCGCCAGGTCGACCGCGACGATGCTCTTGCCGAAGCCGAGGGAGAGCTCGTCGGACCAGCACTGCAGCGCGGTGGCCAGCGGGGGCTCCGCGACGCCCTCACCCCCCTCGCATAGGGTGGCACGATCTCCGCCCTCGGTAAACCGAGTTTGGCCCACGCCGCGAACTGCCCCACCAGCACCCCTCGCAGGGCTCGCGCCTTTGATGGAGGCATCGGCCACCCTCCCTGAGGAGGCTCCACCATAGCGCGGGGCAGGCGGCAGGCTGCCGCCGCTCAGGTCCGACGGGGGCGCGCCGCCGCACGAGCTTTGAAGGCTCGCAGGCGGTGCTGGGTGTTCGTCTCCCCCGGCTGCTTCGGGAACTCCTTCCGCATCTCCGCGAAGGACATCTTCCACGGCGGCGGGGCTGCCGACCCCTCGGCCCGCGGGGGAGGCCCGCCCGCGGCCGCCGCCAGGGGGGCTGGTGGAGCCGCCGCAGGAGCCTTCCTGCGGGGCGGCCGAGCCCGCGGCTGGCGGGGGGCCTGCCCCCCAGGTCCCTTTCCCTGCGCTGTCGCCGGGGGTGCCCCTCCTGCCTGGCCGACAGACGGAGGCGCCAGCGGCGGGCGCGCCCCCGTCGGGCCCCCGCCCTATCCCGGCGTCTTGGCGGAGGCCAGGCGCGCGGAGAGCTCGCCCAACCTCATCTCGCCGAGCTGGATGCTGCGAATGAGCTCCTCCTCCTCGCTCCGGATGGCCGTGGGCTCGTCGCGCGGCGGGATCAGCTCCAACCACTTCGCCGCCGCCTACGAGCCGTCCGTCGTTGCCACCTGCAGCGCCTTTAGGCCCTGGACGATCAGGTCGCAGGCGTAGGCCGCCTTCCCCTGCATCAGCAGGTCCACCGCCTCCGCGAGGGTGCGGAGCTCGCGGCACGTCTGCACGCCGATCTCCTTCACCGGATGCTGCGGCAGGTAGATCGTGAGGAGGTACCGCAGCGCGATCGGGCCCGTCGCGTCGACGGCCGCCCCCCCCCTCCTGCGAGCCCAGGACATCCGACATCTGCTGCTGGCTCAGCTCCGTGAGGCGGCCCGGGGAGGCGGCGGCCATCCGACGACAGAAGGCCCTCCTCGTGGCCAGGTCGCGCGGCACCGCCGCGGGGTCCAAGGAGCCGAGGCCGCCCCCGCCGATGCCGCCAGGGGGAGCCTCCTTGCCCTCGCGGATGGCCATCACGAGCGCCTGCGCCAGCTCCGCCATGCCGCCGCTCAGACCAGCTCCTGGCGGCGCCCGCTCGGGCACAGGGCCCCCTGACCCTCGGGGGCCCGCGTCCGAGGCGGCCCTCTTGAGCTTCGCGGCGCGCTCGACCAGCAGGTCCCCGAGCGACCGCTTCTTCACAGGCCCCTCGCCAGCCGCCTCTGCGCCGAGGGGGGAGCCGTCCAGGTTGACGTCGCCAGCAGCCCGCTTCCCCTCCTCGAGGCGCACACGAGCCCCTGCGAGCTTGCCTCCAAGGCCGCCCGCGGCAGCTGCCTCCTCGTCTGCGGCCAGCTCTGAGCCAGGGCCGCGCGACGAGCCTCCTACGCTCCGGAAATCGTCGAAGGGGGCAGCGCCAGGCGGGGCCCTGGGACAACCTGCTGCGGCTGGCGGGCGACCCGTCGCTTTGGCCACCGCAGCGGGCCTCGCGGGGGCGGCGGCGGCGACCAGCGGCCCGAGGCATGCTGCTGGCCAAGCCGCCTCTGGGTTCGCCTCCTGGCACTCGACGAACAGCGCCCGCAGGTCCGTGAGGCCGAGCTCCTCCCCGTCCGCCACGTGGATCAGCTCGGCGCACGTCACCCGCCCCTCCACGACTGAGCACGGGTTCTCCGAGAACACGTGGATGAGCGGGCGCTCTGTCACCGCGCTCGGCTGCCCAGGGTGGCTGGCCACCCAGTCCCAGTGGCCGTCGCCGCTGAAGAGGAACTCGGCCTTCGCGAAGCGCAGCGGCGGCTCTGCGCTGGAGACCCGCAGCGCCCGCCCCGCGAACCGGCACCGCTCAAGGCCGCCTGCTGTGTAGCCCGTGCTGCAGTAGCATTTGCCCTGGGCCACCGCCAACGGGACGATCGGCACGGGCCCGTCCTCCACGGGCGCGGGCACGACGGCCTCCGCCTCTCCGAGGTCCTCGTCTCCACCGTCGGGGTCCTCGACAGCCGCCTGGGCCACCCAGCCTCGCGCCTGCCAGGAGTCAGGCCAGCGACCCTCGCCTCCCAGTGCTGCCGCCAGGAGCGCGAGGAGGGCGGATGGCGGGCCTCGCAGCAGGCCTCGCGGCCACCGAGACACTCGTGGCCGTGACCCCGAAGAATGCATGGAACCTAAAGCCCAAACAGGCTACGGACGTGTTGGGGCGGCGCGTCCTGGCCAAAGGGGGGAAGACGGGTATACGCATACAGGGAACCAGTACAGACAGACATATATATACAGATACATATATATATATATATATATATATATATATATATATATATATATGTATACACAGATACACATATACATATATATAAGCATACAGACATACATAACGACTTACGTATATACGTATCGACATACCTACCTTCATTACCTACACACATGTATGCATGCATGCATGCATGTATGCACTTGTATAAATGTATGTACATACACATTGTCAGCCATACATACATACATACATACATACATACATACATACATACATACATACATACATACATACATGCATGCATACATACATACATCATTTCACGACGTGGACCCCAGAGATCTAGACCCCTTCCCACGAGTAGTTGTTGTTCATCCCGAACCCTTCGTTGACGTCCCCAGGGCCTAGCGAGGGCCCCCAGGGGCCGAGAAACACAGGACCACCTGGTGCCTGCGGGCTTCAGGGGCCTCTCGGGGGTTGCGTTGAGGCTTCTCGGGGTCTTCTTGGGTGCATTTGGAGGGCTTCTGGGCCTTCTTGGGCTGCCTGGGCGTCCTGGTGATCTTTGGGGGCCCTCTTAGCTCTATGGGGGCGCTCTTGGGAGCTATGGGGCTATCTTTGGTGCTCCCCGGGGCTCCCCTGGCCCCGGACCGAATCTGACCGGAATCGCGGCCCCAGCCGGCGAATCGGATCGCACCGGACTGGACACCAGGCGGCCAGCCCGTGTCTTGTGTATCATGTCTTGTGTATCATGTGCGAGAGTGAGTTTGAAACAGTTTCCGCCCTACTCCTGCCTGCCAGTGTCTGCCGATGCCCCTTTTGGCGCCTGCTGACGTCTATGAGCGCCTCCTTTAGCGCCTACTGGCACCTCCTCCTCCTCCTCCTCCTCCTCCTCCTCCTCCTCCTCCTCCTCCTCCTCCTCCTCCTCCTCCTCCTCCTCCTCCTCCTCCTCCTCCTCCACGTCAGCAGCCGGGGAAGAAGACAGCTCGTGCCTGAGACGACTCTCACGCACAGCACGCCTCGCATCGCATCGGGTCGCACAGTAGGAGGTCGACCACAAGAAACCTTCCACAAGAGACCCAGCCCTGAGACCTTCGGACGCCCATTGACCTTTGATGTGGGAACGTCGCGCATCCCACAACAGAACCATCGAAACCCAACAAACCCAGGGCACCCTGGAGGCAAGCAGGGTGTTTATTGGCATGGGTTTCCACTGGAGCAGCAGCCCCAACGCCTCACCGACACCCCGAAGCTGTTGGGCCTGTTTGGCTCGCCGAGCATCGTCTTCTCACTGCCGCCGAAGGAGAGAGGAGGCGGAGAAGGGGGGGGGGCACGAGGAGGAGGGGGAACGGCGAAGGGGGAGGGACCAGCTCGGGGGGGGGAGCGTGGAGCTGGAATCTGCGATGCGTCGCCGAGGATGCTTCTTGGCGTGGGCGCCGCGCGCCCCTGGGAACGACCCGAACCCCTGGGCCTGGGCGGCCCCAGCAAGCTTCCTCCTGCCCCTCTTCGTTCGGCCGTCGCTTCGTTGTCTCCTCCCCCCCCTTCTGCATGGTGGCACCAGTCGCTTCACGGCAGCCCCGTTTGGTTTCCTCGCCAGCGCAGCGACTCTGCCTAGCTTGGCGGCGCGCGGGAGGGGGCAGGGGGAAAGGGATAGCTTTTCAGAAGGAGGTTGCCTCTTAGAAGGCGCAGGCCTTGCGTCTATGGACAAGACCCGCGCCCTTTAAGAAGCAGAGGTGTTTTTAAGAAGCCTCCCCTCCTCCCCATACCCCCCTCTGCGCGTGGCCGACTAACCGCCGACGAAGAAGCTTCTTGGCATAGGGGCCGATGCTGAATCCATCCCTGGGATTGCATCCTCATGAAAAAGGAGCCCGGAAGCGCAGCAGAAGGAGGTCAACAAAACCACTGAAATCGGCAAAGCGGCCTCTCCGAGGCCCTCGGGCCATTGGGGCGCGCCCGCACATCAAAGGCGGCGTTGGGCAGCAGGACCTAAGATTAAGTCGGGGCTTTCGAGGAAAAAAAAGAATAGTCAACAAGTACTCCAACATGGCCAAAAAATATGTCAAGCAAATCGTTCCCTGACTGTGTCTTGACTATTGTGATTATGATGCGTTTTAGCGCAATGGCAAAAAGGGGCCCCTAGAGGTCAAACGGCGGCGAGTGGCGGCGAGTGGTGCGTAAACACACGTAACGCATGCACTATCTCACACCCGTGAAACGCTATCACGAGCTAGCCGGCAGACCGCGCAGTATCGCTGGTCGAAATAAGCCTCTAGGGGCAGTAAAAGAAGTACTCCCATATTGGGACTACTCAAGTGACAGGCAGCCAGGACTCAGTCACTCACTTCCCCGATGGGATAGCAGTCGCTCTGGCCCTCGCCAGTTTTTCTTAACCTTTTTCAAAGTAGATTCAGGGTCTGGGGTTACGTCATACGAACTAGCACGAAAGATCTGAACCAGGAAATCCGTAGGCAGATTCTTCGTCAGACCACCAACAGCCATAATATTTGTATCGATCAAACGGATCTTATCACCAAATATGCGGGGATGTAGAATCTCTACTTCTTCCATCCCATTAGTCCGAATATCCTGTCTAAACTACCTCAATCAACATTCAATCGCTTGCCTTCTGTCTTGCCCAGAGTTGGGGCTACTAGGTGTTCGTCAAGGCTTTTACAATCCGTCATCCATAAATGTCTCATAGACCAGGCTGATTTGTCTTCCCAATTGAATGGCAGCTTCGTTCCGGCGCCAAGCATCCCTCGCGCATCTGCAATGGCGGCACGAACGCGCACACCAGATTCTACACCCCATAAACAAGCCAAAGTCTCTGCTTGTAGTGTAGGAGTTACATACTCGTTTGATAACTTTGCAAGATATAATTATAAGGTGAACATGACCACTGTTCCCCTCGATGAATCCAGGCCCTGCGAGTCCATTGAACCTAGCCCTCTGTGATCTGAGAGGCTCGATTCTACCCGTGACTACATCCTCTTCTCCTTCCCAGCTGGCGTCAGTGAATGTAAGGACTATCATAAATAAATCCACTTAACAGCTCCACCTGTGAATACTCATCGGCAATCAGCGGACTTAGTTGCTCCTTCTACTACACGGTTGGCTTCTTTGAGATGGGGTACCTTAGCGAGACACACTGCTGTCTGCAGTCTGATCACACGATACAATAGCTCAGGTGTACACTGAAGCGTAGCCCATGACAAAGCACCCACGACAAAACTGAGCTGCGCTGTCTCACCCTCATTGCATCTTCTCGTGAGGGGACTGTCTCTAGAATAGGATGCAAATTCGACGTTGTCTATATTGTGCTGGGCCGTGATACTCACCGTGAAATCTCAATCTTGAACAACCTCTTAACCACAATACGGAGAATATTCGACCTGATCTCGCAAACATCAAGCTCTGCTAATACCGAATCGATGATCTTCTGATACTTACCATCTGCAGCCCATAATTTGTCATCTACATGTGTACCTAACATACACGCGATCTCCTTCTTGTCATCGTGAATACTGGAGAAAAAAAAAATGGTGCGAATTTCCCTTAGACCACGAGCTTCAAACCTTGTGCGAATAGTCTTCCATTAACCTCGTCCTGCGTCACGCGTGCCATAGACAGGCACGCGCGCGATCAATGCTCCACCATCCGGCACTCCTTCGAGTCCGTCGGGCGGTGGCTTGAGCAGAATGAGGCGGTCGAGTTCCTGAACCTGGAAGCACGCAGATGTAATGTCGGCACAGTTGAGAGTCTTCTTTGTGCCCGCGGTCCATGATACTATCGACCATGGCCCTTCTAGCTCGCCTGTTGGTGAATCCGCGCGGATACCCAACGAATCTTCCAAATCTCCACGTACGACAAGTCTACTCTTGTACTGCGATGCAACCGAAGGTCCACTAGGTCAACGAAGATGTTCATTCTTGTCAATATCATTCCACTGCGTAGGTACCATGCGGCATCCTTCTTTGAAGAGATCTTGCAGTCCCACGGAATCAATAGGCACGGCGGCGTTTAACTTCCGCCATTCTCCCCAATCGTCTTGTCTTGCCACGTCGTAAACCACTTTTCTCGATGATGTACCAGATCTTTTACACTCTTTATCTCCTTCTTGGATTGCACCTTATGAGCGGTGCGTTCATTGAAAAACCCGACACGCGATTCATGTGGCTCAACAGCGAATGATGCTTCTCTGCGGGCTAGCAGATCCATGCCCGGCCCTGATGTTCCGGCCCTGCGAAAGGCATCAAGAAGTAGGTTCGCTGGTTCGGGAGCTGGCTCCGAAACAGAATCGGAACCCCCCCCGCGCTACCATCGGCATTCGCGATTCATCTGCGCATCACTTCGTTACGACTCTGTATACCGTCTGCGACGACGTCTAGTAAGGAACTCTGAGGAGGCGCTCGAGTTACCAGCAACAACCTCGACGCGGGCGGCACAGGAGCGACCATTCCATCAGACAGCTCATCTTCTTCAAATAAGCGAAATGCTTCTTCTATGAACTCGGGGTCTTCTGGGATCCCCAGCAGCTCTTCCGTCACCATAGGATGTTCTTGCATAGGATGCTCTTGTACCCGAAGTTCCGGCAGCTCACGTCTTTCGTCCACAAATGATTGTTGTTGTCCGTCTGGAATGCATATCTTCCAGCTCCACCGTCGAGGTGCTTAGAGAGATACTGGCATGCCAGCGATTCTGCAACATTCGCACGCACTCCTATGTCGGAAGCGTCCTCGTCGTCGAATTGACCCCCTGGGACACGAGGCATCTTCCCGAG